AGCGCCGGGGCCTCCTCCGTCGGCTTCCACCTCCTCTCCCCGGGGAGCCGGCCCCTGTTCACGCACGCTGCACTTCAGAGTGGCGCCGCGACCGCCCCCTGGGCTTGGATCTCTTTCCAAAAGGCCCAGGAGAAAGGCCGGAGGCTGGGCCAGCTGCTGGGCTGCCCCGAAAGCGACCACACCGCCCTGGTGAGCTGCCTGCAGGGGAAGGAACCCGGGGAGTTCCTCCAACACGACCCCTTGGCCATGCGCAAGGAACTGTTCTCTCAGGCCTTTGTGCCGACACCAGACGGGGATTTTCTCCCTGACGTACCTGCCAGGCTGCTGTGGCCTGACCACAGCCAGCCTCTGCCCATCCTGACCGGCGTCACTGCCAACGAAGGCACCTTCCTATTAAAATTCAGCCCTCTTAACTTCAGCCTGGCGAACACCAGCGCCATCGGCTGGGAACACCTGCTGCAGATGGTGAGGCTGGTGGCACCAGGGGCCCCGGAAGAGGCCATCCAGGCTGTGGCACAGCGGTACAGTCAGGAGCGGCAGGATGACACCCGGTACTTATGGGCCATGGGTCATACCACCGGGGACCACGGCTTTGTGTGCCCGGCAGCCGAGGTGGCCGGGCGAGAGGCGGACGCCGGCTGGCCTGTGTATGTCTACTACTTCACCCACCGCAGTCACGTCTTGCCTATGCCGGAGTGGATGGGGGTGCCCCACGGCGCTGAGGTGCCGTACCTCTTTGGGACCCTGGCATCCCTACGAGGAGCCAACTACACGCTCCCGGAGGCCGAGGCGGCGCTGAGCCGGAAGCTGATGCGGTACTGGGCAGAGTTTGCCAGGAGCGGGTAAGGGAATCCCCCAGAATCCAATAGCCCTGGTGCTCAAACTAGGAGGCTTTGTCTACACTGGCAAGTTATTCCAGAAAATCAGCCGCTTTTCCAGAAAAACTTGCCAGCTGTCTACACTGGCCGCTTGAATTTCCACAAAAGCACTGACAATCTCATGTAAAATCATCAGTGCTTTTCCGGAAAAACTATGCTGCTCCCGTTCGGACAAAAGTCTTTTTCTGGAAAACTGTTCCGGAAAAGGACCAGTGTAGACAGCAGAGATTTCTTTTCTGCAAAAAAGCCCCGATCGCGAAAATGACGTCTAGATTGGCCACGGACGCTTTTCCACAAAAAGTGTTTTTCCGAAAAAGCGTCCTGCCAATCTAGACGCGCTTTTCCAAAAATGCTTTTTACAGAAAACTTTTCCGTTAAAAGCATTTCCGGAAAATCATGCCAGTGTAGACATAGCCGGAGGGTACATTTATACTGCAGCACTATTTTGAACTAACTAGTGCTACAGGCAGTCCCCGGGTTATGTACAAGATAGGGACTGTAGGTTTGTTCTTAAGTTGAATCTGTATGTAAGTCGGAACTGGCGTCAGCCGCTGCTGAAACTGATCAGTTTCAACCACGGCTGAATCTGGA